CGGGCCTAGCTGGCTCCCTGGGCCAGGCTGGGCTTCCCGTGGCCGTGCGCTGCACAGCCAGAGGCTGGAATCTGAACAGCTGTTCCCGGGCCTCGTGCTTGCCAAGAACCCTTCCCAGGACTTCGGTGTGTGATTTATTTATGGTCAGGCTGTACAATAGGAGACAAGTGAAGGAAGATGTGTTTAGGGACGGGCCAGCACCACATTTCCACAAATACTTTCTAGATATTGATCAAACAAGGCCGTGCGCTGCACAGCCAGAGGCTGGAATCTGAACAGCTGTTCCCGGGCCTCGTGCTTGCCAAGAACCCTTCCCAGGACTTCGGTGTGTGATTTATTTATGGTCAGGCTGTACAATAGGAGACAAGTGAAGGAAGATGTGTTTAGGGACGGGCCAGCACCACATTTCCACAAATACTTTCTAGATATTGATCAAACAAATTAAATAAGCATTGTGAAGTGTCATTTGCTTGTGGGCACGGAATAATTTTAAAGGATTTGCCCTTCATGTGAATAATTTTTAGTTTCTATTTTTTTGCTACCTGGACAGGGCAACAGAATGCAACTGAACAATTTTGATCTCCTTAGTTGACATGGTATGAAATTAGCAATGCATTATTTGGACTATGGAGCTGAAATCTGTTGTTGATCTGCTGTCTCATGTAAAGTCCCTAGTCCTGTACTGAGAATTAAGGATGTTAAAATGTGGTTAATTGACTAGTTGATGGCATTTCCGTTGACTAGTTGATAGGTACTTCCACATTCCTCCTCTGAAATGTACAAGAGCCCCCACTGGGATCAGCTGGGGGGGTCCCTAACTCCCGAGCTCCCCGCACTATTTCCCCAGAACCCACTGGGGCTCTTGTACATTTTAGAGGAGGAATGTGGAACGCCACATACGTCCAAGCCCAGTGGGAAGTCCCGTGACTCTGGGCTGCATGCAGCTGCCTGCTTTGAAATGCAAAATAAATTTCAAAGTCATGGAGCCGGGGTTAGCGGGGGACTCTGAGTCCCCCGCTGACCCAGGGCTCCCCACAGCTGCCCCTTTGAATCACGCAGAGGCAGCCACCGCACAGCTGATGTGCCTCTATCTCAAGCAGATCAGCTGTACGATGGCTGTCCCTTTAAACTATGCATCTGCGTGATTCAAAGGGGCAGCTGCCTGGAGCCCTGGGTCAGCTAGGGGGTCCCTCGCTGATCCCGAGCTCCCCACGGTATTTCCCGGGAACCCAGGGAATATCACGGCATGAAGCATAGCATAGAGCTAGAGTGAGGCCTCAGATTACGAGGCCTTTATATACTTAGTATGGTCCCTCCCATAGTAACTGAAGCTCAGATGTACAAACATATTTAGGCTCCTAATGTCTATTGATTTCAATGAACCTTTGTGGATTGGGGCCTTACACTTTTTTGATGCATTTATCCTTAGGACATTTCATCCGTTATGAGTAATACCTGTTTCAGTAATGGAGAAGCACAGAAACATAAAGCAATCTACCTGATGTCACCCAGGCAGTTGAAGCTGGGTCTTTTCAGTCCTAGGTTGACACCGTAACCACTGGACCATCGTTCCTCTCTCTTCCTTTTTGTTATATATACGTTATGTACAGCAGTTGGAACAATCAGTTGCTAATCCCTAACAGAAGCCTCTAGACACTATTGCCAAACAAATAGCTATTGTAATAAAGTTATTAAGCTAATCTGTTTTATAAGAGTAAGCATCCATAATGTCATGTATATTTTACTGTGAGTAGCAAAACACTTCCAACAAGTCAACTTTTTGTGATTGCATTTATCATATTACCATATCCTTATTAATCACATTCTTCTATTACCTTTCACTTACTGTCAATCATATATAGTCATAGTAACACAGGAAAACTCATTAGACAGTGCTATCAATTACTTTTCATTCTTCAAATCTTAGCCTTTGGAAATGTTTATCTTAATAGCTGTCTCTGACAACAGACTTTTGTAAGGTAATATTAATAATACAAGTACATATTTAAAGCAGGCTAAAAAGTACAGTAACATGAAATTGTGACAGTATGAATTTAAAAAATATTTTTATGATGCCTGTAGTGCACCTCAGTTTATCCAATGTGCTGCATTGTTACCTAGGCCGGGAATGGAAAAGTGTTATTTGCTCTCCAGGCAGGCAAAGAAATATAGATACAAATGTTGCGCTGTCTAACTGTCTGAGAAAACAGGGTTAAATATGAATTCCTGATACTGATACCTAGCCACCAACACCTAGAAGGGCATTGACTTCCCTCCCTTGCTCAAGAAAAGTTGAGCAACAGTTCCCCAGCTCAGGGTCAAAGGACTGGGGATATGTGAGCATAAGTTTTGACTGATAATGGCAGTTAGGGCTCTGACCTGGGTTTCAGATCAAGGAGGTGAATTGATCAGATGAGAACATGCTTGAACAATGGTGTTCACTACAGCTTGGCTAGGCACTCAGCTATGCAGAATGGACAATGCTTAAATTCCTCTATTGCTAACTAAAGGATTTATTAAGCTGTGTTCCAGATGACTAATAAACCCTACTGTTTTAACATGGTTTGGATGAAGTCAAAGAAGCTGAAATTGAATCTAGATAAGACTGAGGTCCTGTTCAGGAATGTGGCATGGTACCTGTTCTAGACAAAATACAGGACTATGTAGCACTTTAAAGACTAACAAGATGGCTTCCTTGACCACGGGGTGCTCTTCCAGGAAGGACTGCTTGGCGGAGATGGAGTTCACCTTTCCAGGAGCAGGAAGGCCTTGTTTGGACACAGACTGGCTAACCTTGTGAGGAGGGCTTTAAACTAGGTTCGACGGGGACAGGTGAGCAAAGCCCACAGGTAAGTGCTGAATGTGCGGGACTGGGAGATGGGTTGGAAATGGGGGGGGGGACTACGGCCTATAATGGCAAGGAGAAAGGAGGGTCAGGGCACAACAGGGAGGCAAGATCAAATCAGTATCTTAGATGCCTATATACAAATGCGAGAAGTATGGGTAATAAGCAGGAAGAACTGGAATTGCTAACCAATAAATACAACTATGATATCATTGGTATTACAGAAACCTGGTGGGATGGGACACATGATTGGAATGTTGGTATGGAAGGGTACGGCTTGCTCAGGAAGGACAGACAGGGAAAAAAGGGAGGAGGGGTTGCCTTGTATATTAAAAATGTACACACTTGGACTGAAGTGGAGATGAACGTAGGAGATAGCTGTGTAGAGAGTCTCTGGGTTAAGCTAAAAGGGGTAAAAAACGAGGGTGATATCATGCTAGGAGTCTACTACAGGCCACCTAGCCAGGTGGAAGAGGTGGATGAGGCCTTTTTTAAACAATTAACAAAACTATCCAAAGCCCAAGATTTGGTGGTGATGGGGGACTTCAACTATCCAGACATATGTTGGGAAACTAACACAGCGAGGCACAGGCTATCCAATAAGTTTCTGGACTGCATTGGAGACAACTTTCTGTTTCAGAAGGTTGAAAAAGCTACCAGAGGAGAAGCTGTTCTGGATTTGGTTTTAACAAATAGGGAGGAACTAGTTGAGAACTTGAAAGTGGAAGACAGTATAGGGGACAGTGATCACGAAATAATAGAGTTCATGATCTTAAGGAAAGGTAGAAGGGAGACCAGCACAATTGAGGTAATGGATTTCAGGAAGGCAGATTTTGATAAGCTCAGAGAACTTGTAGGTAAGGTCCCATGGGAAGCAAGACTGAAGGGAAAAACAACTGAGGAGAGTTGGAAGTATTTCAAAGGGACGTTGTTAAGGGCCCAAAAGCAAACAATTCCGCTGTGTAGGAAAGATAGAAAATATGGCAAAAGACCAGCTTGGCTTAACAAGGAGATCTTGCATGATCTCAAAATAAAAAAGGAGTCATATAAAAAATGGAAACTAGGACAACTAACAAAGGATGAATATAGGCAAGCAACACGGGAATGCAGGGGCAAGATTAGAAAGGCAAAGGCACAAAATGAGATCAAACTAGCTACAGGCATAAAGGGAAACAAGAAGACCTTTTATAAATACATTAAAAGCAAGAGGAAGACCAAGGACAGGGTAGGCCCACTGCTTAGCGAGGAGGGAGAAGCAGTAACAGGGAACTTGGAAATGGCGGAGATGCTCAATGACTTCTTTGTTTCGGTCTTCACCGAGAAGTCTGGAGGTGTGCCTAACGTAGTGAATACAAGCAGAGAGAGGGTAAGTTTAGAAGATAGGATACACAAAGAACAAGTTAAAAATCACTTAGGAAAGTTAGATGTCAGCAAGTCACCAGGTCCTGATGAAATGCATCCCAGGATACTCAAGGAGCTGATAGAGGAGGTATCTGAGCCTTTAGCTATGATCTTTGAAAAATCATGGCAGACAGGGGAGATTCCAGAAGACTGGAAAAGGGCAAATATTGTGCCCATCTATAAAAAGGGG